TCGCCCGCGGGTGGCTTAATACTACGGAAGACATCTTGGTCTACGAGTCACGTGCCCTCTTGCGAGCTGTGGAGATATTGTGCAGCCTGTCACCGCGAGAGGGCGAGCATGTCGTCGTCATGAGTGACAACTTGCCAGCAGTACTTTGCTTCGAGAGGAGGAGAGCAACAAATTGTTACTGTCCTCTCATGCATCCGACGGGCTGTCGCCCTGTGCCTCTCCCTCAACAAGCGCCTGCACGTGAGATGGGTTCCGAGCGAGCTCAGCCCGAGTGACGAAGGTTCTAGGCTGTGCGACCAGAGCTACGACCCCAATAAGACCCTGGTGCACTCTTGGGAAGCTTCTGAGGACTACGGCAAGATACCAGTGAATCGTAGGCTACCCCAACATGTGCATGAGCAAGATAATGCACGCACCAAGACGATGCACTACTGCAAGCACGTGGATACGGATAATTGCAAGCACGACAAGTTTGGCAAAGATGAGATCACAAACAAGTACACAGTCTTGGGCGTCACCAGTACCTCAACTACTACAAGCACGAGCCCCAGAACAGCTCCGCAGGCCCTCAACGAGCCCACCGAGGCCCCTAGCATCCGTGATCCTCAGGACCTCCACGAGCCCCAGAGGAGCCCGCCAGCCGCCGTCGCCACCTCGGCTCCCCAGTGCGCCCCCACGGGGGACCTTTGGCGACCTGCCGCGGCGGTGGGCGATCGCGGGTGCGACGGTCAGCGTGCCCATGACGTCTGGCCCGCCGACAGGCCGCGGACACTGTCGCCGCCCGGCGGCGCCGCTGCCGGCAGGAGGCAGCGCGCCCGCGCATGCCGCGCCCGAGCCGCTTGCGAAGCGCTCGCGGGTGCTGTCGCCGGGGCCGGAGGGCCTGCCGAGCGAGCCACTGGCGCCAGCCTGCCGGGCGCGGGCGCTGGGGGCGCCCCGGGGCGGCATGCGGCAGCGGCTCACCCTGGCCCCGCCCGCCTCGAGGGCCGCGGCGCGCGACCTGGAGGCGAACTGCAGCCCGGCGGGCGACGGCGAGGGCGAGAGCGACGCCACGACCGAGGCCAACGAGGCGGAGGCAGCTCGCACCTGGCAGCTCCGCCAGACAGCCCGGCATCGCGCTCGGGCAGTCGCCCAGGCCAAGGCGTCGCCCACTCTGGCGGGGCTGGCGCTGCTGGAGCGCTCGGCGGTGAGGCTGGGCACGGAGACGCGGTACCAGGTGGAGCTCGAGGCCTTCATCGACGCCGCCGGGAAGCGCCGGCTCGTCGTGGGCAGCGAGGTGGACGACGCGGTCGTGCACTACATGAACGAGCTATACGAGTCGGGCCACCACTCGAACAAAGGCGACGTGTTGCTGTCGGCGCTGCTGCATTTCCAGCCCCAGTATTGCAAGCTGGGGGGATCGCGCCTCCCTCGGGCTTGGCGATGTTTGAAGGGGTGGCGCCGGAGATGTGGGCGGCGCTCGAGGAACCCGGTCGTCCGCATGATATGGTCAGCGGTCGTCTGGGACCTCTGCTGCCGGGGGTGCTGGCTCATGGGTTTGCACGTGCTGTGGATGATCGTGACGTACCACCGCCCAGGCGAGCCGCTCACGATCCAGCGCCAGGATCTCATCCAGCCAGTAGAGGGGGGCTCGAACGACTGGGGGGTGCTGCTGTTCCCGCAGTCGAGGGCGGCCACCCGCAAGAACCACATGCAAGACGAGGGGATCAGCCTCACCAGCGAGCTTTTCCCGGGGCTGCCGCGGGTGATCGCGGCGCTGGCCCCGTGTCCTCCGGAGTCCTTGCTCTTCGCGCACAGCTACCCCGAGCTGGTCGCGCAGTTCAACATTACAAGGGCGAGGCTCCAGCTCGGCAGCTTGGTGTTGTACCAGTGCCGACACTCGGGGGCCTCGCTGGACCTACAGAACCGCCACCGCGATCACATGGAGCTGAAAAAGCGAGGCGGGTGGCAATGCGAGAGCTCGCTGAAGAGGTACGAGAACGCCGCCAAGCTGAACCTCTCCGCCGCCCGCCTGCTTCCTTGGCAGGTGGCTGCCTTCCGAAAGGCGGACCAGCAACTCGAGGCGCTCTTCTTCGGCCGCGCGGCCGCCCTGCCCTTTGTGGCGCCGCGAGTCAGCGCCAGTACTTCGCCGACCTGTTCTGTGGCGAGGGCGGCGTCGGGAAGGCGCTTGCGCGCCGTGGCTATCCTGTTCGACTCTGGGACCTTCGCTACAGCCAGAGCCTGGATCTCACCGATCATGCCGTGCTTCGCCGCCTGGAAGAGGATGCCAAGAACGGTTTGATTCTTGGCGCAGCGATCGCAACGGAGTGTACCAGTTTTTTCGATAGCAAGAATGCGAACTCGTTTCATCAGAACCTCGTCGCAGCCCTGGGGAGTGACAGACAGGTCAGATTTCAGTGTGAATGATCACGCCGCACTGCGGCGCGGCAACAAGCTGCTTAGGGCGACCCTCCGTATTATTCGTGTGCTAGGTTTTTGTCAGATACTTTGGTTTTGGAAAACCCTTGCAGCAGCATGATGTGGAAGATTCCTGCGTTGCGGCGGCGGTCTCAACGTGCTGCCGCTCAGGTCTCACTAGATTTTTGCAGGTGCGGGGCGCGATGGCGCAAAAGGACTCATTTTCTGTTCGGGAATGTTAGCGATGAGTGTCTAAGGCCCCTGCGCAACCGACTCTGCTGTGGTAAAGGATGCTGTTTTTATAGCGGCCGCCCACGCATCGAGTTGAGCGGCCCACGCACCAGCAGAGGCGTCCCGTGGACAAAGGTGGCCGAACCCTATCCTGTAGGCTTGTGCCGCGACCTCGCCGCCGTTCTCATTGCTGCTACTCATCAGAGAACACCTTCTTGTTTCGGGAAGTGATTTGGGATGTTTTGTGGTGGCCGTCTTGCTAAGCACAGACCGCCATGTGGCCACGCCTCCGGCTGCTTCCGCTGCCGGCCGAGCTGCGCCTGCCGTGCCGCGTTCTTCGAGACAGATTTCTCTGCTCAAAATGTTGGGAATGGAGCCCTTCCAGACATAGGAGTGCTTGCACGTTATTGTCTGGGCCGTTCTATGGCTTTTGATCTTTCTCAAGTGCACCCGTGGCCTGCCCTCCGCCATGAGAGTGCGCTTCTCACTGTCCTTCAGCCTCGAAGCAGTTTTGTGGTGGCCGTCTTGCTAAGCACAGACCGCCATGTGGCCACGCCTCCGGCTGCTTCCGCTGCCGGCCGAGCTGCGCCTGCCGTGCGGCGTTCTTCGAGACAGATTTCTCTGGTCAAAATGTTGGGAATGGAGCCCTACCAGACAATAATTTTGGCCTCTCCGGGCCCTCCTGGAGAACCTCTCGACGGACTCTTGGGCTGTCCTTGAGGCCTCTTAGGGGCCTCTTGGGCCGCGTTGGGCCATCTTGAGGCTGTCTTAGGCCGTCTTGGGTACATCTTGGGCCGTCTTGGAGACATCTTAATGCCATCTTAGCCGTCTTGGAGGCCATCCTGGCCGTCTTGGAGGCATCTTGGAGGCCATCTTGGAGCCGTCTTGGGCAGGAAATTGGGGAATTGAGCGCCTTCCGGGTGGCCGGCGAGACGGGCCGAAGCCCCATGGGGAGTTCTTTTGGGAAAAGAACCAAAACCAAAACCTAGAGGGTTCAGCACGCCAGGCACCCCTGTGATGAATCAACAGGGGGCGGCGGATCCACTGGCCTTCGGCCCGTCCCGCCACTGTACATGCTACCCTCCACCTTACGGCGTAGCCTCCCAGGCGGTAAGCAAAGTGGGTGGGTGAACCGCTGTACCCGTCTGGCTGCATTCGCGGCAGCGATACGGGGACGGACATACACGACGTTCATCATGAGTGATTCGTTATGAGACCGCACCGAAGATCACCAATCCGCTGTCCTTTCGAAAAAACATCCCAATCTCATGGCGATCATTCGGGCAGTCAACAAGATGACGATCTTCCATTGCGCTTTCAGGATGTGCTATCTGTCAAGCTCGCGTGGTATGTTTTTCTCCTAATTGCCCTATTCTCACTTGTATCGCTATCTTCTCTGCTGCCTCCACTGTCTCTGCCCTCTTTTTCCTGTTGTTTAATATTTTTGTTTTTCTCTCACTCTCTCTCTCTCTCGCTTTCTTGATATCCCTCTCATTTAATCTTTCTTTGCTCTCTATGTCTCTCTCTCTCTCTCTCTCTCTCTCCCTCCCACTACACACATCTCTCCCCCTATATATATATATATATATATACATGGGAGCGCAGATCTCGCCTGCAGCCGGCATTCTCTTCCCTACAAGCATTCTGTCTGTTGATGACGGATGGTGGCTGTCTGTGCCGATCCTCCCGCGATATCTTGGCATTGCAGTGCTCTCGTCTGTGGTGATTTCCCCCAAGCACTGCGCACTACGTGTGCAGCTGGCCGTCAAGCTGATGTTCGGTCAGATCATGCAGACGGTGTGTGTGTGTGTGTGTGTGTGGCGAAGGGCAGTTCTTGGGATGTTTTCAGCATTCAGGAGAGGCCGCACTGAATCATGTGCAGAATGTACGGCAAGGTTCACCAGTGGGCCTCCTCGGCCCTTGAAACGATGGTCACCCCGTTTGCCGCCGGGCGGCACCTTGCTTCCCAGATTCGCTGACGCTGACCTCGTCTAGCCGCAAGCCCTACGACTTGTCTGCTGGTGGCTTGCATGGGCTGAGTGGGCTCCATCCCGCTCTGCCCGCCCTCTCCTCTGCGGCCGTTTCCCGCTGCCCTTCCTCTGGGCGCGCCCCGCCACAGGGGCTCTCCGGCGGAGAGGCTCGTCGCGCCGCGCGGGCGAACGGGCGAACGAGTGGGGGCACGCCGCGCCTTCCGGCGCAGGCTGATCGGAGCCGTGCGCGACTCTTTGAATCAGCCGGTTCATTGCGACGGCGCGCGGACCAGAAAGGTAACAGGTGGGGATTGACACTGGTACATAGACCCCCGTAGCCCTCTGAATTGGGGGCTGTCGAAAGCCACCGCACGTGCCCCTCTCCTGTGCTCCGCTCGCCCCGAGACCGAGTCCACGTGGACCGCCACAGGGACGCCTCAGGCACCGACTTCGACCCGTACTAGGCGGCATCGCCAACCCTTTTTTTGTTCTTGCATCATCATGCAGGGAAGTCAGTTACCGTAGTGACAGGGCTTGGTCAGTCCGCCACCGTCCTGCTTGTAGCTGATTCGATTGGCTTGCCATGCGGTCTGTCGAGTCCCTCTTGCGCACGTGGGCTGGATAGGGACGACAGGTCACACTTCGAGCTTGAAATGCTTGTGAATCGTAAGATCATGCGATCATGTATGAGTGCGCGGGCTGCCTGCGTTCCAGGGCCGCACGTGCCCAATTCCGTCGGCGGCTTGTGACGCACGCTTACATTGCATTGTACCGCGCGAACTTTCGGATCCATGCATGATCGCATGGAGTGCTTCAAGACACGTTTGCAACATACTTCAGGACATATTTGTGTTATCTGGCGCTCGTTGCCGCGTATCATGCCCATATTTCCATCGATTGTTGCTTATGTGAGACTGTGTTGACGCGCCGAATGTATGTACACCGATTTCTGTCATTATGTTGTTTTTTCTCCCAAGCTGACTTGTAAGAAAGTCTGAATGGCAGCAGCTGGGCTCTTCATGCACCACTCGAGACATTCCACGTGCACAACAATTCAGAATGGATTTTTGTCGTAGACAGACATTGCATGCGCCCACTTTCAGGCCTCCTCCCACTGGTATTGGCTTGACTTGTATTGAAAGAGGCATTACGACCGCTTCCGCCGACCTTGAACGTGGGATCAGGAGGAAGGCCCCAATAAGGCCGCGGACTCTTGGAGGCTTGTTGGGGTCTCGTCGGGAGGCTTCTCGGGGGCCTCGTCGGGAGCCTGTTTTAAGTCTCTTGGGATCTCCTGGGGGCGTGCTGGTGGCCCTGAAGGGTATGAACCTAGTGGCCCTGGGCCCAGTTTGCCATAGTGCCTGGGCCTCTTGGATGCAGATCGGGGTCTCCTGCGAGGCCTCGCGGGGGCCTCTTGGAGGTAGTCTTGAAGCGCCTCCAGGCCTCTTGGGGATCTCTTGGGGCCTCTTTTGGGCCTCCTTGGGTCTTTCGGGGTCTCTTGGGTGCCTCGTGGGCGCCTGCTGGCGGTCTCGGGTGTCCTCCAGGGGCGGAGGGCTCGAAATGTAAATTCGGGTTCTCCCCTCTTGAGCCCCTCTCGGGGACGTCTTGGGCCCTCTTGGGCCGTCTTAGGGGAGGCTGCCAGCTGCGCAACCGTCGCCACTTTCGTGGGCTCCTGGGATGACCAGTGGATGCGGTCGGCAGGCGAGACATCGCTGGTCTCTTGGAGGCCACCAGCTGCGTGACCGTCGCCACTTTCGTGGGCTCCTGGGAGGTTCAGCGGAGGCAGTAGGCAGTCGAGGCCTCGCGGCTACCTTGGAGGATACCTTCTATCTATTTGCGCCACTTTCGTGGGCTCTTGGGATGTCCAGCAGAGGCGGTAGGCAGGCGGGACCTCGCGGCTCCCTTGGTGGATGCCATCTGTCTAGTTTCGCCACTTTCGTGGGCTCCTGGGAGGTGCAGCAGAGGCGGTAGGCAGGCGAGACCTCGCGGCTCCATGGGAGGCTTCGCAACTTTCGCCACTTTCGTGGGATCAGCTTCTGGGAGGCCCAGCGGAGGCGGCAGGCAGGTGAGACCTCGCGGCTCCATGGGAGGATGCCTCTGCGCAATCGTCGCCACTTTCGTTGGCTCCTGGGAGGTCCAGCGTAGGCGGTAGGCAGGCGCGACCTCGCTACTCCCTGGGAGGCTGCCAGCTGCGTGATCGTCGCCACCATCGTGGGCCCCTTGAGAGTCCATCGGAGCAGATTGTCGTCGCAACGTGTTCTTGTGTATGGCATGAGCATATCAACAGTCGCCTTGCGGTGAGAAGGGGTTGGCTATGTCTCATGTAATTCCCAGACGTGCGTGTTTCGAGCGGGGGGGCATACTTGTTTCCAAGGGTGTCGTGAGGTCCGTGCGCTGCCTTGGCCCAGCCTGTTGGGCCCTGCCTGCGTCGCGGGCTGCTCGGTGCTTCTGCCCGCAGTTCCTGCACACCCTGCGGTGGTGTTCGCCCGCTGCCGAGCTGGCCACTCCGCTCTCTCAACAGGCGTTTCGGTGGCTGGCTGGTGCCGTCTGGAAGCGTATGGGGCGTGATGGTGTTGCGCGGGGAGGAGGAGGAGGAGGAGGAGGAGGAGGAGGAGGAGGAGGAGGAGGAGGAGGAGGAGGAGGAGGAGGAGGAGGAGGAGGAGGAGGAGGAGGAGGAGGAGGAGGAGGAGGAGGAGGCGGAGGAGAGGGAGGAGGAGAGGAGCAGGAGGGAGGGAGGAGGAGGAGGAGGAGGAGGAGGAGGAGGAGGAGGAGGAGGAGGTGTTGCTCCCCTGGGCAGCCGCTGGCGGGTGACTGGCCTCACCGCCTGTGCGCGCGGGGCCGGCCCGCCCGTCCGCGCGCAGCACCTCGACGGCGGCAAGGGGCACGGGAGCGGGCCCCGTGGTGTGCAACGACGACTTCTGGTGCGAGATCGCCGAGTGCGAGAAGCCCGGGGCGGGCCAGGGGTATGAACTCTATTGCAGTTGAAGCTTATGTTGTTCCAACCGACTTCAGCCTTGATCACCAGAGAGAAATTCGAGCACCAAGGAAGTACCAAAACTGCCAGGTTTTCACGTGTCGGGTCGACCCTTCGCCAGCGTGTCGGGCAGACACTGTTTCGATACTTCTCTGGCTGCTCGAAATTATTTCTGGGATGTTGTCCTCAAGTTCGATCGGAGCAACAGAAGTCAAAGCTTTGGAGTCAATGTGCCACTCTGGGTTCGAAAGGGGTCGATGTTCCTTGGGTCCTCCAGTCAGTTCTCATTTGGCGTTCTTCGTGCATCCAGGCGCAGGTGCAACGGAGGCCCCTGAAGGGCTTCGTTCCGCATCCAATGATCCTCATGGTGGAACATTGAAATGCGATATTTTCGGGGCTGCAGTCGGCGGGGTAACTGGCTTCTCCTCCTCCTCCTCCTCCTCCTCCTCCTCTTCCTCCATCGCCCGCGCTGCGCGTCTCGCAGCTGACTTCCCGCACAGTGCTGGAGCTCGTCGGTGATTGTAGATGGAGCTTTCTTGGGAACGCTCGGCCTCCTCCCACTTCTCCCTTTCCTCCCCTGAGATCCGACGGCGCGGAAAAATAGAGACATCGGTAGAAATTACGACCAGAGCCCTAGACCCCATCTTTCTGCGCCACTTGTCGAGCCGGATCGATCCGTGAGGTTCCCGGGGCCCGAAGCCCGACGAAAACGCCCGGCTCGAAAAAGTTGAGACGCCAGGATCTCAGGGTCCTCCCTCCCCTCCCCTCTCTCCCTCCTCCTCCCCTCCGCCTTCTGCGTGTGCCCCGTCTGCCAGGGCCCCACCGACGGCACGCCGAAGGATCGCCGCAGCGTGGCCAGGGACCCTCGGGGGCTCTCTGGCCGCCTTCTTACAGCAGGAGCGGCCGGAGCTCGGGCAGGGAAGAGGCGGAGGGGGGGGTGGGAGATGCTTGTTTGCTGGAGGTGCCAAGAGCTCCAGGCCCCCTCGGGTCAGGAAAAATCGCGACTGGAGGTTTTCCGCCAGCTTCAGCCCGTGGGGGCTCGCATCGGGGCCTGGGGCCAACGATTCAGGATGAAAAACTAGTCCTGGGGAATGGGTCGAGACCTTTGGGGGTCGACTTTATGAAATTACCCTGGCGACGTACCCAACCCCTGCGCAATGCGGGGTAGGAGTAGCTTGGGAGATTTGACGAGAAGGCGGCGACGTGACATGGACGCAGATATTTCTGCGAGCGGCATTCGTAAGGTTCGCAGGTTCCCAATCAACGGAAAAACGATGAGTAACTAAGTGAATCCGTGAGGCATTTAGGGCGACGCAAGGTCCAAGAGGCGACGGTGGGCAAGGGGCTTGAAACGTCGGCGGGGCAGCAACAACATGGCATGGCCCCCCCGGGACGGCGAGGTCCCGCTCAGGTCGGTGGAGTGCCTCATTCCGCTGGACCCACCAGCAGCCTTCGAAAGTGGCGAGCCCACCAGCAGCCGTCGAAAGTGGCGACAGTTTCGCAGATCGCAGCCCCCCAGGGACGGGGAGGTCACGCTCAGATCCGCGCGGTGCTTCACTCCGCTGGGCCCACCAGCAGCCGTCGAAAGTGGCGACAGTTCGCAAATCGCAGCCCCCCAGGGACGGCGAGGTCCCGCTCAGACCTGCGCGGTGCTTCACTCCGCTGGGCCCACCAGCAGCCCTCGAGAGTGGTGACAGTTTCGCAGTTCGCTATGCTGCCCCCCCAAGCAGCCGTCGAAAGTGGCGACAGTTTCGCAGATCGCACCCCCCCAGGGACGGCGAGGTCCCGCTCAGATCTGCGCGGTGCCTCACTCCGCTGGACCCACCAGCAGCCATCTCGAAAGTGGCGACGGTTTCACATATCCCAGCCCCCCAGGGACGGGGAGGTCCCGCTCAGATCCGCGCGGTGCCTCACTCCGCTGGACCCACCAGCAGCCCTCGAAAGTGGCGACAGTTTCGCAGATCGCAGCCCCCAGGGACGGCGAGGTCCCGCTCAGATTTGCGCGGTGTCTCTCTGCGCTGGACCCACGAGCAGCCGTCGAAAGTGGCGACAGTTTCGCAGATCGCAGCCCCCCAGGGACGGCCAGGTCCCGCTCAGATCTGTGCGGTGGCTCACTCCGCTGGACCCACCAGCAGCCCTCGAAAGTGGCGACAGTTTCGCAGATCGCAGCCCCCCAGGGACGGCGAGGTCTCGCTCAGATCCGCGCGGTGCTTCACTCCGCTGGACCCACCAGCAGCCGTCGAAAGTGGCGACAGTTTCGCAGATCGCAGCCCCCAAGCGGCGGCCAGGTCCCGCTCAGATCTGCGCACTGCCTCACTCCGCTGGACCCGCCAGCAGCCCTCGAAAGTGGCGACGGTTTCGCAAATCGCAGCCCCCTAGGGGCGGTTATGTCCCGCTCAGATCTGCGCGGTGCCTCTCTCCGCTGGACCCACGAGCAGCCTTCGAAAGTGGCGACAGTTTCGCAGATCGCAGCCCCCCCAGGGACGGCCAGGTCCCGCTCAGATCTGTGCGGTGGCTAACTCCGCTAGGCCCACCAGCAGCCCTCGAAAGTGGCAACAGTTTCGCAGATCGCAGCCCCCAGGCAAGGCAAGATGAGACAAGAGGGATGGGGGGGCGGGAGGCGGGCGGGAGGGAGGCGGGAGGCGGGAGGAGGAGAAGGACGCGCGAGCAGCACTTTATTCAAAACGAATACCCAACCAAGGAGGGTTGTGAAAAATCATGACGTCGGGAGTCTGGGGCTCAGGGCCCGTTTCGATTCGATGCTGACCGATCCTGGAGCTTCGGCGTCCTGTGTTGTTTTTCACAGCGTGCCCTCTGGAGATCTGGACCCGTCTCCCGGGAGCGGCTTTTTATCCGGAGTCGTTCTTTGAAGGCTCCGGGGCCCGGTGGGCGGTGAGGGCCCCCAGAGGCCGAAAACGGCGACAGACCTTGCGTCGTGATCTTTGCCACGACGCGAGGGGGCCTTGGAGGGGGGTCTTCTTATCCAACTGGCCGAGAAGCCAGCCCAGTTCCTTCAACACGCTAATCCCTCCTGCGTGGACAAAGAAAGGTGGCCCCCAGTTCTGTTGGAAGAAGCTCTGGAAGGCTGGCCCAGGTTTCTCAAGTTATGATTTTCTGAATCATTTTTTCGGCTGTCGACGGCGTCGGGCCGTGGGGCTGCCGAGAGCCCGTCGCAGCGCCCCCGTTCCTGCCTCATCTCCTCCTCCTCCTCCTCCTCCTCCTCCTCCTCCTCCTCCTCCTCCTCCTCCTCCTCCTCCTCCCCTCCTCCTCCTCCTCCTCCCTCCTCCTCCTCCCTCCTTCTCCTCCTCCTCCTCCTCCTCCTCCTCCTCCTCCTCCTCCTCCCTCCTCCTCCTCCTTCCCTCCTCCTTCTCCTCCTCGTCGCCTCCTCCTCCTCCTCCTCCTCCTCCTCCTCCTCCTCCTCCTCCTCCTCCTCCTCCTCCTCCCCTCCTCCTCCTCCTCCTCCTCCTCCTCCTTCCTCCTCCTCCTCCTTCTCCTCCTCCTCCTCCTCCTCCTCCTCCTCTCCTCCTCCTCCTCCTCCTCCTCCTCCTCCTCCTCCTCTCCTCCTCCTCCTCCTCCTCCTCCCCCTCCTCCTCTTCCTGCCTCCTCCTCCTCCTCCTCCTCCTCTTCCTCCTCCTCCTCCTCCTCCTCCTCCTCCTTTCTCCTCCTCCTCCTCCTCCTTCTCTCTTCTCCTCCTCCTCCTCCTCTTCCTCCTCCTCCCGCTCCTCCTCCTCCTCCTCCTCCTCCTCCTCCTCCTCCTCCTGCCCGGAGACCCCCACCCAGGTGGCGGAGTACTGCCCCTGCGCCTGCAGCACGACCACAGGCGAGGCGGCCGCACCCGAGCAGCCCGCCCCTCGCCTCGGCCAGGTCCTCCCCTGCGATCTGGGCGTTTCTTTTGTGGTTTGTTCTCGCGCCGGGCGTCTTCGTCCGGCCTCGGGCCCCGAGACCATCCCATAGCGGCCCGGCTCGGAAGCATCGCCGCAGAAAGATGCCATTCCATAGCGGCGGCCCGGCTCGGAAACAGCGCCGCAGAAAGCTGGGGTCTGACCCCAGGAAGCCATCAGTGACCCCCCCGAGCCCCCACCCCTCTCCGCAGAGGAAGCTATAATTGACGCTTCAGGCACCGGGGCCGGGGCGGGAGCGACATCCCCCGCAGCGGCCCGCGACCCAAGATCCTTTTTGGCGGGCGGGAGGAGCAGGAGGAGTGTCCTGACGACGAGCTCCATCTGGATCCCAAGAGATTCCCAAGGTCTCTGGTCGTTTTTTCTCGCGATGTTGCGCTTTTTGTTTCCAGCGTTGGAATTCAAGGTCGCCCCTCTCCGCCTCACGCCGTTGCCCTTGCAGTCTGTGCCTTTACCCTTTGCTCGTCCCCTTTCCTCTGGCCTCCTGTATTCGGGGGCAACGGTCAGGGGGGCGGGGGATAGGCAAAGGGGGGAATGCATCGACCACCTCGACTGGGTGATACATCGACGATGCATCGTCGATATCAGGGCACGCTGACCAACGACATACATGGGCGATGTATCGACGATGCATGGGGCGGTCTGCATTGACGATGTATCGACGATACATGGGCGATGTATCGGCCATTCGAGGTCGATGCATCCCTTCTATGTACTCCCCCTCATCGTTGCCCCCGTGGAGGTCGGTTTTGGCGTTGAAGTCGTCACGGCGTGCGCCGTCGGTACGCTGGGCTGGACTTGTGGTCGTCGACGTCAAAAAAAATCATCTCCCCTCCGTGTCCGCCCCTTCCTCTTTCCTTGGCGCCTTCTTCCTGCCCACGTGACCTCCATGTCCCCCTCCGCCCGAGGGCCGATTTCTTTGGCTCGTGCCGTGGATGTCAACAACAGTCACAGAGCGCGAGTTCGCCCCGGGAAGTCCATGGCGGAACGCGATGATGTCGCGAGAGGTGCTAGGAGGGTCCACGGGGGGCCACGCAGAAGTCCAGGGGAAGCCTGATAGTCGCCTGTTAGACGTTAGACGAGGGAGGCTCTTCGGCTCCGCAGCGGTTTTGGCTCAAGCTGCCTGGCCAGCAGGGCCTGAGACCGAAGGGGGCTGAGGGCGGCCAGCAGGGCCTCTCGGGGCCGTGCGGCCCTGTCCATGTCCACCGTCGACGGCCCAGAGGCCCCGACGAGGCGCCCGGAGCCGAGCACGTGGGGCGTCGGTGCGCTGCTGGCCGTCTGCGACCACCTCGAGCTGGTGGCGCGTCTGGTCCGGGGCCAGGCCGCCGCGCAGGGCGGGGGCGAGGGCGGGGAGCTGGGGGAGCTCCTCGCCGCGCTCTCCAGGAGCAGTGCCGCCCTCGGGGAGCCTCCGCCCGGGTCGGACGAGTGGCAGCGCCAGGGCGCGGAGGCCACGGAGGAGAAGGCGTGGCAGTGGCACAGCGCGACGCCGAGCGGCGTCTCCGAAGCCGACTTCGCCGTGCCCAGCTCCGCGGCGCAGCACGGGGGAGAGGTCGAGGGGCAGACCGCTGGCTTCGGCGAGGGTGTCTTCGGGGAAAGGCCTCGCATGCAGTCGCCCGAGGTGCCGAAGGGGAAGAGGTCCAGCAGGGCCAGCAGCGGGTCGCTGGTCAGCTTTTTCGGCGAGGAGAACTCCAAACGGATGACGAAGACCATAACGTACAGAAACCCAGCCCTGCGGACGATCGAGCGGAAAGTGAAATCTTATTGGATGGAGTGTGTCAGCGCCTGTCTCATAGCGACCAACACCATGTTCATGGTTTTGGAGGGCCAGTTCGTGGGCGCGAAAGTCGGGAATGAGATCGGTTTCTATTCTTATTATGGTTCTGACAAGTTCTTCGATTCTCCAGGAGCGCTGACCCCTGACGTTTTTTTCATCATCGATGTGGTCTTCTGCGTGCTGTTCACAATCGAGTTACTCTTGAGGCTTGTGTTCCTGCGTGTAGATTTTCTGTGTGACCCTTGGGGATGGCTTGATATGGTAATTGTGCTGACCACTGATATTACCACCTTCTTTTTCCAGGGGGGCAAAGGGGGGGATGGGCTGCCGATTTCGACCATCCGTATCCTGCGTTTGGCCCGGCTGCTGCGGATCATGAAGCTGGTGCGATCCATCAAACTGTTCGATTCTCTCTACCTCATGACAACAGCGCTACGAGGGAGCATGTCTGCATTGGTGTGGGTAATCGCCTTCCTCTTCCTCATTCAGACGCTGTTTGCCCTTTTGCTCACGAACATCGTTCAGGATTTCTACCTGGGGCAATCTTCCAATGGAGACGAGTTCTTTGAGTCTTCGCTTGAGAAGGAGGAAATCTTCAAGTACTTTGGCACCTACTGGAGAGCTATGGTTTCTCTTTTCGAGTTGATGCTGGCCAATTGGCCTGTGATCTGTCGCCTAATGATGGAAACGATGGATGAGGTTTGGTCGGTCTTTGTCATCCTCTACAAACTGTTAATGGGCGTCGCTGTGATTGGCGTGATCATGGGTGTCTTCACACAAGAGACTTTCCGGGCTGCTGATAGCGATGACCAACTCATGATCAGGAACAAGGATAAGCAAGATAAAAAACATCTCGCCAAGATGAAGGCCCTTTTCGAGAAGATGACCAAGAACAGCGAGTGCGCGACCGTGGATTCAGCACTGTTCGAGAAAATTCTAAAGAGTCCAGAAATGCGATTGTGGCTGAAGGCGATGGACTACGACATAAGTGATGCAAGCTTGCTTTTCTATTTGATCGATTCGAACGACAATGGCAAGCTCACAATAGAAGAATTCAGCCAGGGGATGGCATCATTAAAGGGTGGTGCCCGTAACGTCGATGTCAAGTTGTTGCTTCGACAAAGCCGGGTTGGCAGAATGGTTCAGTCATCACGCAACGCTGGGGGCGCCAAAATGTCTCGCATGTCCACCGTCGAGGCCCTTCGAAGATTCGAGATGCCGTAGGAAGCTTTGCCGAAGGATAGTTATGCAGCTTTGTGAGAGTGCGTGGCCACACCGTAGCAACCTCACTGAAGCTCGCCGATTGCGGGTCGGCCAGCGAGTAGTTACCTAAACCGTTTTCCTGATCTTTTCTGCAAGGGTCCAACGTCCAGCTGTCTGTAGCAAGTCCTGCGATCGTGCCAGCCCAGTACACTTTGAGGCACCGGTTCGAGAGATGGCTGGAGGCTGTAACATGTGGATCGAGGAGCGCTAAAGGTAGAGAGTGTGCGTTGACGACTGTAGTAACGGTCAGAGCGCCGCCACTTGGCACACGTCGGCCGTCTTGAATTCATCTCGGGTCATCTGAGGTCGTCCTGGGGCGTCCTCCTCCTCCTCCTCTCCTCCTCGTCCCTTTTGCATGTTTCACCGATTCCGACCACCATGCAGGTGCCAGGGGCGTTTTTTTTGCACCCGCGCGTTTGCCCTCCGCACGTGACAGACAACGAATTGTTTTCCGCGCAGTCTGTAGTCTGAATCGACCGACCGGTGGCATATGCGTACGGCAGGTGGCATTTAGTTTATTGTATATATATATATATATAGATAGATAGCTGCGCCTGCGCCCCTGCGAATTCATAACGTAAAAAACAATCGGTTTTCAGCAGGTCCTCAACATGTTACCAAACGGGCCTCTCGCATGTCGAAATGGTTCGCACGCCGTCGCGCGCATTCAGTCGCGCGCATTCTTTATATATCTATCTGTACATATATATATATATATACAAATGTTTCGTCGAAAGTTTGAGGCCGAAGGATCTTTATGCAGCTTTTTGAGAGTGTGTGGCCACACCGTAACCACCTCGCCGATTGCGGGTCGGCCAGCGAGTAATTATCTAAACCGTTTTCCGGTCTGCAAGGGTCCAATGTCCAGCTGCCTGCTGCAAGTCCTGCCACCGTGCCAGCCCAGTACACTTTGAGGCACCAGCTTGAGGAGCATAAGGACACACAAGCAAAGTCGTGCTGGTGGTGGAGGTGCCGATTTCCCTTGGTCCTGTCTTCGTTCTTTCGCTCCCCGTGATGTTTCATTTTTTTGTCCTCTGGCGTTACTGTTCGTTGGAGGCGTCTGGAGGAGCAGGAGCTCGCCGCTTCGACTGCGCACTGGCTGCGTAGTGCAGGGTCGCGCGGGAGACAAGGAGCTCGGGCGCCTTGCCTCCTCCTCCTCCTCCTCCTCCTCCACTTCTGTTCCTTAAAACCTGAGACCCCTCCACCACATGATACCGAAGCTGAACAGCTCCAGGAGTTTCACAGCGGAGGGCGGGCCGTTTTCAAGATATGGCTCTCTCGCTTTAGCGCCGCGCGCACTCGTAGAAGCAATAACCAACGCTTGCAAGAGTTCCACGGATGGCTGGCGGGCCGTTTTCAACATGTGTTGCTCGCCTCCGCGCCGCGCACGTGGGTCTCTTCAACGTCTGCGAGAGGTTGATAATAGACCTGCTCCTCTCCTCCTCCTCCTCCTCCTGCTCCTCCTCCTCCTCCTCCTCCCCTTTTCATGTTTAACGGATCTCGACCGCCATACAGGTGCCAGGGGCGTTTTTTTTTGCATCCGTACATGTGTCCTTTGCACGTGACAGACAACGAATTGTTTCCCGCGCAGTCTGTAGTTTTACTCGAACGACTGGTGGCATATGCGTCCGGCAAGTGGCATCCAGTTGTATATATATATATATGTATACATACACATATATGTTTGTCTGTCTGTCTGTCTGTCTGTCTGTCTGTCTGTCTGTCTCTGGCTGTCTGTCTCTGGCTGTCTGTCTGTATGCATGTATGTGTGTATGCATGCATGCATGCATGCATGCGTGCATGCACGTGTGTATGTATCTATGTATGCATGCATGCATGCATGCATGTATGTATGTATGTATGCATGTATGCATGTGTATATGCATGCATGCATGCATGCACACACGCACGTATGCATGTATGTCTGTCTGTCTGTCTGTCTGTCTGTCTGTCTGTATGTATGTATGTATGTATATGTATATATATATATATATGTATGCATGCATATGTGTAGGTGTAGGTGTAGGTGTATGTATGTGCATGTGTATGTGTATGTGTATGTGTATGTGTATGTGTATGTGCATGTGCATGTACATGTGCATGTGCCTGCTTGTATGTATGTATTTATGTATGGATGCATTTGTGTATGTATGTATGTATGAATGTTTGCATGCATGTATGTATGTATGTATGTACTTATGCATGCATGCATGCATGCATGCATGCATGCATGCATGCATGTACGTATGTATGCATGTATGTATGTATGTATGTATGTATGTAATGTAATGTAATTTAATGTAATGTCATGCAATGTATGTAACGCAATGTAATGTAATGTAATGTAATGTAATGTAATGTAATGTAATGTAATGTAATGTAATGTAATGCAATGTAATGTAATGTAATGTAATGTAATGTAATGTAATGTAATGTAATGTAATGTAATGTAATGTAATGTAATGTAATGTATGTATGCATGTATGTATGTATGCATGCATGTATGCACGCATGTATGCATGCAGGCATGCATGTACGTATGTACGTATGTATGTATGTATGTATGTATGTATGTATGTATGTATGTACGTCTGTATGTGTGCATATATATATATACACATATATATATGTATATAGATATGTAGCTTCGCCGATCATTTGAGGCGAAGGTGGGTCTGCAATCGGTAGGTCTGCTAAGAGAGGACAGCCCCGACGACGTCATGCAGCCGTTGTGTCGATCGCACAGCTCCTCTTGCCCGTGGAGCGGACGCGAGAGGCTGCAATCCCACGCTTTCTCAGCGAATTTCGCCTGAGCCTATCTGCGCTGCACTTCTGTTCCCAAATCGCCATTCAGATTTTTCAATTTCCAGTGGTTTCTCCTCGGTCTTGACTTTTCGGCGCGGAAAGATCTGCGGTCCCGACCATTTATATATGTTTGGCTGCGTGGCGTTTTTTGGCGGGCGCGTCCGCCCGTGCCGCATACCATAGACGAAGCGCTGCACTGGGAGCACGGATCCCCTCTTCCCCCCCCGAACAAAAAAAACACGAGGGAGGCTCTTCGGCCGGTGTTTTGAAGCAGCGACGAAACGTTTCGAACAGTAATGATCGCGTGCTCGAGTCTCTCTTCAGAAAACATCTGGGAACACATGTCCAATATATGAATGCGTGCAGAGCAGTTCCCGAATGGCTGCTTGAGAGAGTTGAAGGGTTCCAGAGAAGAAGCCAGCAGACTGGGTTAGGCCAGCTGTACTGCCATTGCTGCCAGGCAGGGAAGTTCGCAGCTCCTTCCTGGGCCTCCCAGCGTGTTCCGCCAGCGCTTTCCTACTCGTTCCCAACACGTTGGCCAGAAGCTTTGGCGCAGCTCCTCCGCAGCGCTCCTTATTCAGGGTCGTGCGCAGCTCCTGGGCAGCGCTTCCTGGGCTCGCGGCCGGTGCCCAGGCCGCCCTCAGGCAGCGCTTCCTAGCCTTGCGCGCAGCTCCTAGGCGTCGCGTCTCAGGCTCATGGGCAGCGCCTAGGCAACGCTCCCTGGGCTCGCGTGCAGCTCCCACGCAGCTCCCAGGCAGGCTTCCTGGGCCCGTGCCCGGTTCTAGGCAGCTCCCGAGAAACGCCCCCCGCGCCGCCCCCCGCGCGCGCACGGGCGTCGGACGCCCACGCGCTGCCATGTGGGGCTTGGTTCGCACGGGTACTCATGCTTGCACGCCGATGCGTGCCCCCCTGACCCTGGACCGCCTACACTGGGGATGAACTTGTCCATCATGATTGCACACCCCAGTGGTATCGGAGGTGCTGCCACTCCGCGCCCCGTTGCGCAGAGCTCGGCGGGGTGTGGCGGGCACGTGATGGCGCGATTTATCTGGGGCGTATTCAAGGGTCAGGCGGGGTCAGGCTGGAATGTTCCCCAATCAGATCTTGCCTCTGTAGGGGTCCTAGCGGCTTCATTCCCCAATCAGAGCTTGCCTCTGCAGGAGTCCGAGCGGATTCATATGGTTAGGTGAGGTACGGCGTAGATTTCGGAGATTTCAGTGGCACGCCTTTGTGACCGGGTGCCCTGGTGCCCGGGTGCCTGGGTGCCCGGGTGCCCGGGTGCCCCGATGCCCGGGTGCCCGGCTGCCCGGGTGCCCCGGTGCCTGGGTGCCCGGGTGCCCGGGTGCCCAGGTGCCTGGGTGCCCGAGTGCCTGGGTGCCCAGTCGCCCTATAGCCCTATAGCCCTATAACCTTATAGCCTTATAGCCCTATCACCCTATAGCCCTATAACCCCATAACCCTACAACGCTATCACCCTTTAGCCCTATACCCCTATACCCCTATAGCCCTATAGCCCTATAGCCTTATAGCCTGATCCCCCTATAGCCCTATAGCCTTGTAGCCTTATATCCCTATAGCCCTACAGCCCTATAGCCCTATGGCCCTATAGCCTTATAGCCCTATCGCCCTATAGCCCTATAGCCCCATAGCCTTATAGCCGTATAGCCCTGTAGCCCCATAGCCCTACAGCCCTATAACCCTGCGGCCCTATAGCTCTCTAGCCGTATAGCCGTATAGCCTTATAGCCCTGTAGCCCTATAGCCTTATAGTCCTATAATCCTGTAGCCCTACAGCCTTATCGCCCTGTAGCCTTATAGCCCTATAGCCGTATAGCCGTATAGCCCTATAGCCTTATAGCCCTATAGCCTTATAGTTAGCCCCATAGCCCTATATCTTTACAGCCCTACCGTCCTATAGCCTTATAACCCTGTAGCCCTATAACCCCTCTATGACCCTACAGCGCCATAGCCCTTGAGCCCTATGGCCCTATAGCCCTATAGCCCGATAGCCTTGTAGCCTTATAGCCCTGTAGCCCTACAGCCCTATAGCCCTCTGGCCCTATAGCCTTATAGCCCTATAGCCCTATAGCCCTATAGCCCTATAGCCCTATAGCCCTATAGCCTTATAACCCTGTAGCCCTATAGCCCTATAGCCGTATATCCGTATAACCCTATAGCCTTATAGTACATCCCTGTAGCCCTATAGCCCCATAGCTACATAGCCCTATCCCCTTCCAGCTCTATAGTCCTATAGCCATGTAGCCCTGTAGCCCTATAGCCCTATAGCCCTATAGCCCCATAGCCCTATAGCCCTTTAGCCTTGTAGCCTTGTAGCCTTATAGCCCTACACCCTATAGCCCTATGGCCCTATAGCCTTATAGCCCTATCACCCTATATACCTGTGACCCGATAACCCTATAGCCTTATAGCCTTATAGCCTTATAGCCCTAGCCCTATAACCCTGTAGCCCTATAGCCCTACAGCCGTACAGCCCTATAGCCCTGTGGTCCTGTAGCACTACAGCCCTACAGCCCTAAACATACGTTTTTTTTTTTTTTTTTTTTTTTTTTTTTTTTTTTTTTTTTTTTTTTTTTTTTTTTTTCTCTCTCCGGTGTCATACCCTTATAGCCCTATAGCCCTATAGCCCAATTGTCCTATAGCCCAATAGCCCTATAGCCTTAGAGCCCTATAGCCCTATAGCCCTATAGCAGTATAGCCCTATAGCCTTACAGTCCCATACCTCTATAGCCCTATAGCCCGATAGCTCCATAGCCCCATAGCCCTAAGCAGATGATGATTGGGTCTTTCTCGGGTATCATTGTTTGGAGGAGCCCCTCCAACATCTTCCTGAGGAAGGTTTTTGGAAGGTTTTTTCGGCAGGCTTCTGGCGGCGACGAGGCCTGAGAAGGGGGTGCAGGCTCAGGGCTGGGGAGAGCGCGGCAAGGATGGGGCTACACGTCAGTCGATAGAAGTATGTACCGTTGGATGCCCAGATCCCAATCTGCTTTCGGCACCTTCCTGCTTCAAGAGTCGAGTGGTTTTCCTTCTTCCTCCCTCTTCAACGGGGCGGGCGGAAGCCCAATCTACTTCCAACGCCTTCCTACTGTGTGCTTCTACCCACTGCTTCCGACCGACGGGTAGTGGCGGTGACGGGGGGCGCATCGCAGGGGCCGGGCGGGCCAGGCCAGCCGTGTCCAGTGGTGGTGGCGAGCGCTGGGGAGCGCCACGGGGGGCCAGGCGAGGCAGGGGCCACACGGGGCAGGCGTGGTGGCGCAGGGCAGTTCGGAGGGGTGAGGCCGGGCAGGGGCTCTGGTGGCGCTGCGGTCTTCGACTGCACATAAGCGTGACCCTTCGCCAGAGTGATTTTTGGTGCGGGCTCACCGGGGCCCCCACGATCGCTGAGCGCCTTGCGATAGCGACAGCTGGCGCGCTTGGATTTGGCCATTTTGCGCCCCCTGCCTCCGCGCACCAAAGGTCACTCTTGCCTAGGGTCACTCTTGCGTGTAGCCGAGGTCTAGGGGGAGGAGGTGGGGGAGGGCGCAACCCAGAGACTTGGCGGAGCGTTGCCCAAAGAAGACGCATGATAGTAGTATGCTCGCCATGGACATCGGTGGTGCATTGGCAGGGACATGGTGAAACACGTCGTGCACCGCTACTGACGCAACGCGATTTGCTGTAGCGCGGATGCGCCGCGCTGGCCTGCCTCAGCCGCGTCGTGTGCTATACTTGAGCGTCATGGCCGCCCGCGTGCTCTGCACGCCATGTCGCAGTCGGAACGAGGTATAAGATCGAGGTCGGTTCGGGGAGGTTGCCCCTCATGTTCTTCGTGTTTGCTGGGCCTCTTGTGCATCCTGCGGAGGGGGTACCCTCGGATGTTCTGTGTGTTTTGGCTGGCGGAGGGTCCCATGTGCTTGGAGGATGCTCTTCTGGCCGAGGTTCGACTGTAATCGCGGCGACGGGCCTGGGGGGACGCACCCCTTGCGTTCGGTGGGGTGAGGCTCGGGGGTGGGCCGCCCTCGGCCCCCCCTAAGTGCAGGCGCTCCCGGGGTGAGCGGTGGTGGGGAGTTGCCAAGCCCCTCTCGGGGTCTCCGAGAGTGCCTTCTGGACATCCCAAGCGGGGGGATGGGGCACCCCCCCGAAGAATTCCTGCGGCTGAGAGCTTTTTCCACTTTGGCGGGAGCCTTCCAAGAGAGAGAGAGAGAGAGAGCTGCATGGCCCGTACAATTCCAGCTCAGAGGTTCTAAATCCACAGAGCAGGGGCCGTTGAGTTGTCGCTGTGCGCTCTTAGATCATCTCGTTGATTGGTCTCTCTCCCTCTCTCTTTTTCTTTGCCTGTCTGTCCTTCCTTCGGCCATTTTTGTTGTCTCTCTCTTTCTCTGTCTTTCTTTATTTCTTTCTATCAATCTCTCTCATTTCTGTCTGTCTGATTGTTTGTTTTCACATCAGACTTGACGTCGCCGAGACAGAAGCTGTTCCGAGATCTCCGGTGAGGCAGAATCTTGTATTGGGCCTTTCTGAGGCCCGCGTGAGGCATCTTGGGCGCAAAAGGTAGGCGTCCAGGATTTACTAGCTTCTGTTACTTCTTCGTTTCATCCTGCCACTGGCTGGCAGAGTGGTATTCTTCGGCCGGCCATTCGGAACGCCCTTTAAAGAGACGGCACCCAGCATCATCCACGCAGACGGCAACCTCGTCAAGGCATGCGCCCGTACTCTAGACCGATCCTCTTCATGTTAGATCATTGACGCTGTCCGCTTGTAGTTGGCTTGGTGATCAGTTAGGTGGTGTGCCATCAATGTTCCGTCAACCATTGGTGTACTTACGACGTCTTTGTCGTGTCCAATTGTGCTTCGTAGTTTTCTTGTCGTGCCGTTCCTCATCTTTGGCAGGAGCCGTACTGCACTGGACCCCCTGTCAGGCCACGTGTCTTGAGGAGGATGGAGATAGTTGTGAATCAAAAGGCATCGGTTGACTTCTCCTGGCCGCGCTAGCCGGTTCATTATCGTGCCCGATTTCCTACCATATGTCTGGTCAGTAGGGGGGACTTTTTCTGTCCGCCCAAAGCTTGACCCCCGAGCCCGTCCACAGGGTCTGACCAGAGATGTGAAACTAACTGATTCGATGGTCAAGCCTAACATTCAGTTGATCATTATCCTCGGCATGTCGCATTGCTCACTTTTATTGTGTCGACACTCGGTTTTCCCCTGTTCGCTGCCTCTGAGCAGCTTCCTGAAGCGATGGTCCATTTCAAGCGAAGGCTGGCCCTACCGAGAGATCCCGAGAAGGCCATTGGCAGATCGCCCCATTCCCCGAACAGTGCCTGCACTTTCAGGATTTTTGTGGTGCCTTGCAAGGAGCTGGATTTGAGCGGGCGCAGATACGGTGGGGGCGTTGGTCAGGGAATTTTCCCAGGAGGCTTCAGACCCTGGAGGATTCCTGATCTGATGATTGCGGCGGTGACATCCATGGCCAATCCACGATTGGAGTGTCACCGTACTCCAGACCCTGGATCATGTATCCAGAGGTTCCTTATCCAATGCCCTCGCCCTATCTGGGTGCCGCAGGTTGCCTTCCCCGCTGGCGCGGATTTTCGGATGTCACAGGTGGCGCCCCCCTTGGCTGCACCCTGGGCCCCGCCCATCGAATCCCCTGTGCCGGTTGGAATGTTTGGGTGCTAGTGGTTGCCCCGCAGGCTGCTTCACAGGTCCCGCCCATGAAGCCCAGGCTGCGCCAGTGGAGATTTCTAAGTTGCCATCGGGTGCGCCGTACACCTGTCGCCGTGGATCGCACCGATAAGGTCCTCTTTGTCCCTGGGAGCGCTCGGGTGCTGCATGATCTGTCATGCTGCGTTTCAGTGCTCTGTGGTGCTCTGCATGTCTTCGCTCTGCTGGGGATTTCCCCGCACTGCTCTGCATTGCTTTGCTTTGCACTCTTTTTTGTTGCTTTGGATTGCCTTGCTTGTCGTTGCTTTGTGTTGCGTTGCAGTGCATTGCTTTGCTTTGGCTTGTAAGTCTTCGCAATGCTTGTGTCGCTTAACGTTGCTTTGCTTTGCTTTGCTTTGCTTTGCTATATTCTGAATCGGTTTGCACCTCTTCGCATTGGTCTGCCTTGCCCTGCTTCGAATCGCCTTGAGCTGCTTCGAATTTTGCTGGCTACGCTTGCGTTGCATTGTCTTTTTTTCCATTGCACCCCATGTATGAATAGTTAATCCAGCTGCCTGCGGTAAATCCTGCCACCGTGCCATCGCAACATTCTAGGTGGCGACTGTTTGAGGGTTGGAGAATCGTGATGAGGATGGATATGCTGCTGCTGCTGGTGATGACGATGATGATGATGATGATGATGATGATGATGATGATGATGATGATGATGATGATGGTGGTGATGATAATGATGATGATGATGCTCAGGTTGAATTTTCAGGTCTAAAGAGTAATGATTGTTGATTCTCTCTCTGGTAGCCATGCCATTTTCCAATTAAAAATGCTAATCCCGGGGCTCGCACCCGATTTTTACAAGGGAAAGTGAGGTGTCACCAAACTGTTTTCCACCCCCGGTTTACAACAATAGCGGCTCCCGCCTGGTGCTTCCTCACAATAGATTCCAAAGTCTCGCTCTCTCGCGGGACTTCCTCACAATTTATACAGGATTCGCGCTTTCGCGTGGGACTCCGTCGTAATTTATTCACACGCTGCGCCCTCGACTCTCAGAAATCACGCTCTCGCTGTGGATTTTTCACGATTTACCTGGGAATCGCGCTATCGCTCGAGACTTCGTCGCGATTCCTGCAGAACGCACGCTTCAGCAACCCTCCTGCTCGACCTGGCCGCCTGGGCCTGCCTTCCCGACCCGCCCGTTAGGGTGTACCCGCCCGATCTGCCCGTCTGGTTCTGCCAGGTGTTATCTGCTCCTAGCCCCCTCCTGCTACGCTCTCTCGTGCTCCATCCTCCTCCATCCCCTGTGTCCCTTCCTTCCATCCGTCCTCTCTTCCCCTGTCTTCGGGGCTGCGCGAAATACACGTTGCATGTAAGAAAGATGTATGCCCCCAAGGGGGTGCGATCGAAGACGAAGAGGGCGGGCATCGAGGGTTTAGGATATACGTGTTGAACGGCACGCGATCAGATAAGAGTGAGCAGTTTTACAAGGACAGGTGTTGTTGATGATGGTGATGATGGTAGTGCTGCTAATGACGATCATGAGGGATAGGATGATGATGCTGCTGATTAGGATGGCGATTATCATGATGACGATGATGATGGTGATGATGATGATGAGGATGAGGATGACGATCGTCGTGGTGATGATGTCGATAATGTTGATGCTGATGCTGATGCTGGTGATGATAATGATGATGCTGCAGGTGACGATGATGGTGGTGATGCTGATGCTACTAACGTCATGGTTGTTGCTTCTGATGGTGACGATGATGACGATGCTGATGATGGCGATGATCACGATACTGATGATGTTGACGCTGGTACTGCTTCTGCTGCTGCTGCTGATGATGATGATAGTGATGATGATGCTGATGATGATGATGATGATGATGATGCTGATGATGCTGATGCTACCGATGCTGCTGATAATGATGACGATGCTGATGATGCTGAGGTTGCTGATGGTGGTGATGGGGACAGCGATGATGACGATGATGATGCCGATGATGCTGCTGACAATGATGAGTCGGATGCTGATAATGATGATGCCTTTGTTGTTGATGATGATGATGATGGTGGTGGTGGTGGTAGTGGCGAGGATGAAGACGATGATGCTGATGATGCTGCTGCTGGCGATGACCACGATGCAGCTGATGCTGATTCTGATGATGATGCTGATGATGATGCTGATGATGATGCTGCTGATGATGATGCTGCTGATGCTGACGATGTTGATGCTGACCATGATGATGCTGCTGATGATGATGATGATGATGATTGTGATGACGATACTGTTGATGCTGATGATGACGACGATGACGATGATGATGATACTGATGGTGACGATTATGCTGGTGCTGATGATGATCATGCTGCTGCTGATGATGATGATGCTGATGATAATCATGATGCTGATGCTGATGCTGATGCGAATGTGGATGATGATGCTGATACTGAAGATGATGACGTCGATGCTAATGCTGATGATGATGCCGATGCTGACGATGCTGCTGCTGATGCTGCTGCTGGTGCTGCCGCTGATGATGATGGTGGTGGTGATGATGATGGTGTTGTTGGGAGGAGGAGAAGGAGGAGGAGGAGGAGGAGGAGGAGGAGGAGAACGAGGATGAGGAGGAGAAGCAGGAACAGTGGAGGAGGAGGAGGAGGAGGAGGAGGAGGAGGAGGAGGAGGATGAGGTGGAGGTGCAGGAGGAGGAGGAGGAGGAGGAGGAGGAGGAGAACGATGAAGGCCGTCACATGTGTCACCTGTCGTCTTCACTACTTGAGGAGCTCTTATGGAACTCGTTTGGGCCATCTTGGAGGTGTCTTGGCCTCCAGTGAGGCAGTCTTGGGGGTCCCTTGGCGCCCTCTTGGGCCGTCGTGGGGCCCCTTTACCCCTGTCTCTGGGCTCTCTTGGGCTTCCTTGGGGCCCTCGTGGCCGTATGGCGGGTGTCTGGGGGTCGTCGTGGGGCGGTCTTGGGCCGTCGAAAGGCCTTCGAAGGCAGCCTTTGGTCCCACGGTGGGCCTTCTTAGGCCATCTTGGGGCCGTCTTGAGTGCCTCTTGGGCCATCCTGGGACCTCTATGGGGCTCTTGGGACCCTCTTAGGGGGCATCTTGGGCCGTCTTGGGGCCATCGTGGAGGCGTCTTGGAACGTCGTGAGTTGAGGGTAGCCCGAACAGGCGAGTTTTAGAAAATCATTCAAACAACATAGGTGGATCAATGATTTTGGCTTCTTCGGACCCTGTTGGAAGGTCCTCCTGTGGCTTTTTTTTGTGGGCCCTCTTGCAGGCATAGGGCCATCTTGGGCCGTCTTCGAGGCATCCTGGTCCATCTTGGTGTCCTCGGTTGCCTGCATGGGCCGTCTTGGGCGGCGCCGTCGCCTCTTGGGGCCTCTTGGCGATCTCTAGGGGCCTGTTGGGGGCTTCTCGGGGCACAAATATAGAATTTTCGGTTCGTAGTGCCCTGCTTGGGCCCTTCTTGGGGCAGTCTTGGGCTCTCTGGGGTTTCTTTGCATGGGATCGTGGCCTCCGGGGCGCGAATGTGGTGCAATTTGCATGGGATCGTGGCCTCGGGAGCGCGAACACGGTGTAATTTACGAGTGATCATGGCCTCGTGGGCGCGAGCGTTGTGTAATTGGCGAGGGATCGTGGCCTCGGGGGCGCGAATGTGGTGTAATCTATGTGGGATCGTGGCTTCGGGGGCGCGAATGCAAAGCAATTTGCGATGGATCGTGGCTTCGGGCGCGCGACCGTGGCGTAGTTTACAAGGGGTCGTGGCCTCGGGGGCGCGAACGCGTTGTAATTTCTGGAAGATCATAGCCGCGGGAGCGCCAGTGTAGCGTAATTCTCGACAGATCGTGGCCCCAGAGGCGCGAAGGTAGCGTAATTTGCGGGAGATCGTGGCCTCGGATAGCGTAATATACAGGAGATCGTGGCCTCGGAGGCGAGACTATGACGTATTTTACTGAGAGTCGTGGCCTCGGGGGGACGAACACAGCGTAATTCGCGAGTGATTATCGCGTCGGGAGCGCGAATCTCATGT